TTTTACAGTAATCCATTTTTCTACTTTTAACGAATAAAAAGAGTTGTTGTTTTTCTCCCAACACATCTTAATATATAGGAATGTATCAATTATCTTCCTTTCACTTATATATTCTGGTTCGGACGCTCACAGTTAGGGTGCCCCACCATAAATAAATATCTCCCAAGATCTCCAAATATTTCGACAATTATACCACAATAAGTATACATATAACAAGTCTTAACTTACCTCCTCACATTTATAGTCCCTAAATAAACCGTTGTGCTGTATTTAACAAGTTCAAATAAATATTTAACATCAACAAATAAATAGACTGAAAAAGTTGCCAATCCGACGCCATTAAATCCGGGCATTCTTGAGTCCAAAATGGGTTATCTGCCCTTGATATGAAATTAGTTCCCCTTAACCAGTCTACCGATCGTTCTCCGGCTGATTGACAGTCCGGGATAATCAAGACTATTTTCTACGATCACTAAATCTAATTTAGAAACATGCATGTCAGGCAACTCAACGGCTGTTTTAAGAAACTTGTAAAAACTAAAGAAAAATACTACAAGTATTCTATTCGTGCTTAACCAAAAGATGCCGCTCCTAAACGGTATAGTTCAATAATATAGCAAATTAAAAAACAAAACGTACGTAATTTTCTAAAGCTGCTGTAACAACGAATCAGCTAAATAATATTGCTATTTAGAATTGTTAACAATAGATTTTTTACGGCTTTAATAGTAGATAGATGTGTTGAAAATTTCATATGGGATGGCTATTTATAGCCTCATTGACTATAACGCCCAGTATTCTCGCACTGCGTTCCTTGCCAGAAATCAGTTCGTGACTAGTCGCCGAAGCGTGCAGATTCGCTGTGGCTTGTCCAACTTCCAATAGAACCAATCTTGGCTGTGCCCCAATCTCCCCAGCTCCCTTTTTTAGGCCACACGATTTTATTGTTTATCTAAAATTGCATAGCATCAACATGTGGGATTGAAACCATCAGGGTGATTAATCGATTACAATCGATTAGAAGCTAATTACTTTATGTATGTAAATAAAACTATAAAACTGATTAGAATTACCTTAAATAAACATCTACTAGTACAGGTAAAATGATCATTTTTTTACAATCAATTAAACGTGTTTTTGGTTTTAGAAGAATAAGAGTGCAGGACAGCATCCTGAAATAAAATGAAATGGGGTTTAACGTCCTACTGTTCTGCAGTGACTGGGCTAATGAAAACGGCCATGTGCCATACCTCGGTTTTTCGTCCCATCCGAACGACTGGACAGATGTCCTTGTCAGGCCCTCCGTCTTGCATCACTGACATGGGGAAACCACGTCGGAAATCTGAATGAACTTTCTCGGCCAATGCAGGGAACAAACACGCGACATCCAGGCTAGTGAGCCAGCGCCTTACCCACTCAGCCACCGTGACTCCTAGTCGTTTAAAGACTATTGTCTCACCATGTAAGTTTGCGAGGGCGGCTGTTTTTATTTTTCATTTAACCAGATTAAATTCTTACATGTCTTAATTTTTTTAAACTTCACGGAATGTAATTGCTTACAGAAAAGAAAAAATCTGTTTACAAGATTCTGATTTAACTAATTTCACACACAAAAAAATCTGTTGTCTTTGTTGTTATTTTAATGATTGATGTTTTGTAGAATATGTGAAATTATAACACGTTGTAGGCGAATTCAATTGTTTAAAGATACCTTCCCACGTTGTAGGCGAGTTCAATTATTTAAAGATGCCTTCCCACGTACACACTGTGTGACTGGATGATATATTCGGACTAATTTATTTATAATTACATGTACATGTACTCTCAAAGAAAACTACACCAAGCTATAAAATTCTATTTAAAGCAGCACCGTTTGTCACGTGACCTTCACGTCATTCAAGTTGACAACAAACGGACAGAGTAAGGTGGGCTAAATCTATTTGTTAAGGCCAGCTCAATTTTCGTCACGGTCGCTGACATTGTTGGCGAGATTGTAGGTTAGGGTTAGGGTAAGCATGAGGGCTAGGTCTAGGGTTAGGGTTGGGATTGCGTGACCTTTGACCAAACCTGAAATTGCCCTGATCAAATAGGTCTAACCGCGTCAGTTATTTCCCTCAAAAGATTTTGTCCTGTGCGCGCCTCAGTGGTGTTGTTCATGGAATACGTTTTTTTTCTAGTGAGATTGGATGTCTCTGCTTATTGTATATACCAAATTCGCCATATTTTTATAACCACGTGTACCCTATAAATGCTTGGGAATTCATCTTTAATTGATTACACAACATAATTTTATTTTTTTTAAAAAAAAGGAATTATTTATGTTTTTGCTGATTGTTGAATACATCAAGTACATAAAAATGTAAATTAATCTCTCAAATAAAAAAACACCATTCCTTTGTTGACATTGTAATGAGTGATGTTGTTTTGTTTGATAGAAAATGTCGCGATCTAATTATATTCCTTCTATAAACAGACTATAAAAAGTTTATTATTCTAAAAAAAAAATACATACATGTAAAGTATTCTAAAATAAAACATTTGATCTAAGTATCCGGTGATTACAAGGCACGTGTCGAGGCGGGGGCGTGGTCTTGACCCTTGACCCTACCTAGAAATGGTTCCACTACTGGTGTTTTCCGTCTTGCTCCCGTCACAGTAGTGGACCGTCCTAAGGCCTTCCAATCTGTTTCACAGAGAATTACGAAAGTCTTCTAATATCTCTGTAAAAGATGACTGCGTTCAACACGTGCCGTCACAGCACGCGGCGTCAATCATTGGCTGAATGGAGCGTGCATTGTTTACATAAGACGTTACTGCTTCGGGCAGAATGCTGCCTTTTAGTCATTTTAATACCCATTTACACTAAATAGGAAATAATTTTTACCTACATATACGTCAAACGTCTTTATTTATTTTCTTAATAGATCAAAAACATGTTTTAGAATTTAATTTGTCGGTGGAAAAAAGTTAATATTTGAGACTCATTAAGTCGCATTGGTGTCATCATTATCAGTGATTGTAGCGGCATAGCGAATATTCACTGCTGATCAGTGTGAAGGCCTTCTTTGAGCAAGTTTTGTCATTTTGACTACAAAAAAGTAACTGGCCTGTAACTCCTTTAATTTCCAATTACACTGACACCGAACTGTACTGTACGTTGCTTAAACATACATTATGCAAGAGCTAAATCTGTCTATTGCAGGTCTTTCTTTAGGGCTGAAATGTTATCTAAATTATTAATTAGACATTAATTAACCTATCCAGACCATAATCAGCTCTAGATGGCATCGCTAGACTGCGATCTTTAGTGGATTATGGGCCGATTTACTGCGTAACTTTCCTTCACGATTTAACGATTAATTGGATAATCGAGACTATGCTGTTTATCGTACTGACTTTAGTAATGATGATCGAGGCTAGGTGGAAATTTCAAGCGCTTAGTTCTCGGTTCATAGTGGATCAATCTGAATGAAATTTTCAGCTAATTGCCTTTACATTATTTAGTTTTTAACTATTATAATGAGAACTGCCAACTCGTTATCGAATCTCCCATAATGTATCTTTAACATATAATAAACCAATTCCCATTGAAATAAAGATGAAACCTTACCGCATAGTTATATGATTGATTAAACCCAACTGATATCCGAAATTTCTGTTCATTTTAAAATGGCTGCCGAACCAGAATCACATCATTTTATGTCACTCGAAAATTAAGATTTCAGTGTTCCATTCTTCAGTATTTGCAACATAATTATTCATTTCCATGCACACTGATGGTTAAAAATTTTGCAATTGAACCTAATTTTACTTGTTCAAAGCCTCGAATAATGTATCAATTGTAGCCGTCAATAAGAATTATCACGTCTACAACTATTGCAGCTAGACCCGACCCTGCTCGCGGAGAACATATTTTATTCGCCTACATACATTGGAATATGGAATGAAATGAGATGTGTTTTAACGTTTCTGATGGGACGAAAAATCGGGGACCCGTATACACAATTGGCGTGCACGTAAACGATCCCTTGGCAGTTGGAATTCAATATAAGAGTAGGCCGCGGTGCTGCTGTCCGGGGGGGGGGGGATCACGTGGCTAAGACGCTGGCTCGCTAGCCTGGAGGTCGGGTGTTCGATCCCTGCATTGGCCGAGAAAGTTCATTCCGATTTTCCGGCGTGGTTTCCCCTTGTCAGTTATGCAGGACGGAGGGCCTGACAAGGACAGCTGTCTAGTCGTTCGGATGGGACGAAAAACCGTGGTCCCGTGTACAAATTGGCGTGCACGTAAAAGATCCCTTGGCAGTTGGAATTCGATTTAAGAGTAGGCCGAAACGCCGCTATCCTGGCAAAATTTCCCTCATAGCACACTGTATGGAGTATGTCCGTCTTCATAAGTCGAGTCGGAGCAGAGCAGTAGGACGTTAAACCCCATTTCATTTCATTTCCTTTTCTAAATAAACTGATACATTTTCTCAGAGTTTCCGATTTTATCCAATTCTCGGGTAATCCCCTAGATCTTCCTAGAAATGTTGTTGTTGTTGTTGCTGTTGCTGTTTATTACAAATAATAAATGGTAATTATGATTTTTTACATATGAAGGATTAATGACCAAAGGGGTTAAAACATAAAAATGTGATTTTATAAACGGTGTTAAAATTCGCTGTCATGAGAGGAGAGAGCCGGGATTTTCCGGTGCAGTTTCCTCTTGTCAGTGATGTGGCAAGAAACGGCGACTAGTCGTTCGGATGGGACGGAAACCCGAAGTCCCACGTATACGTGATCCCTAGACAGGGATGAGATCAGACCGTATAGCGCTGTTATCCTGGCGCATTGATCTCTGAATAACTTGGCTGCTGGTGGGCGTATGTTTCCTTGCCTGGCAACGTATGTTTTCTCAATATATTTCCTTTGTTCCAAGCCGCATTGACCACTGCAGCAACGAATGGCATAGTTGTAAATTTGTTATTTATATTTTAGATTGTTTAACTGTATACTTTCAGCGGCAGTCGTGGTGGCGTTCTTTGTTTGTTGGGCTCCGTTCCATGCTCAAAGACTGATGACGTTGTACGTCAAGAGAGAACAATGGACACCAGAATTACTCGTCGTTCAGAGTTACCTATTTTATGTCTCTGGTAAGTTTTATTTTCTTCATTTTTTACCAGGAAGTGGCTGAATGGTTAACGCGTGCGCGTTTCATCGTGAGGTCTGTCATTGAGTCACGTGGCGTGGTTTTGATTCCCCGCTTACACGTGACAAGGACTAGGATCGCCTGTCCAACCTCGCGGGTTTCCTCTCTGGGTCTTCTGGTTTCCTCACACTGCTAAAGACCCCTACGCGCAAACGAATTAACGAAATAAAATTGAACCATATGTTATTTCCGAAATGACCTAGTTTGTGTCGAGTGGACGTTAAAACCCATCTCTCTCTCTCTCTCTCTCTCTCTCTCTCTCTCTCTCTCTCTCTCTCTATTTAATCTGGAACCCGTTCTCTACATAGGGGCCATTGGTCTGCTAGGGTCCCCACTGATGAATTTGACCTAAGGCCCATAAGTAGATAAATCCGACCCACATTTTGCAGACTTCTTGCTCTTCTTGGGGCAACCCTATTTAAAAAAAAACAACCTGAGGCTCGACCAATTCGGGCCAGACTGACATAAAACTTGGCACGTTTTTTCTTTGGACAATTACGCATCGACTATCAAATACTCAACAGAAGAAGGACTGGTTTAAAGTAGAGCCCTACCCCTTGGCGGATTCACATGTTGTTTTAAAATCTACAGAAGATGTTTAGCATAAATTCCAGAAATGGACATAATCAACATAATTTGGGTTCACCGCGTTCAAAAAGGACTTAAATATATACATTATGCAAGAGCTGAATCTCCCTATTGCAGGCCTTTCTTTAGGCCTGAAATGTTATCTAAACTATTAATAAGACATTTATTAGCATGAAAAGACCTTAATAAACTCTCGATGCTGCTCAACGCTCATTGATGATTAAATCGAAACTAATCGAGGCTATGTTTTTATCGTACCGTCTTTAGTAATCGTTAATATCTCGGTTCAGGGTGGAGCAATTTGACTGAAATTTTCAGCATATTCCCTTTACAATCATCTGCCAGCTCTTTATTTAATCTGCCATAATGTATCTTTAATTAGAAAAGTATTTAGATTCTCAAACTGGATTCCGGACGCCGAAAATTCCAAGCGCGAAACTTGTTTGTTCCTTGGACAAATTTCGCATCGATTGATTGACGTACTTCGGCATGTTTCCGGGACCCATGTTGCCAGACATCATGTTGTTGGACCTCATCATATTCCCGGGCCCCATCATGGAATTTGGTGTCTTGACAATAGTACGCTGTATTTATTTTATTTTCTCGTTTCAGGTGTTCTGTATTTCCTGAGTTGTACCATCAACCCTATCTTATACAATCTGTTATCTCGTAAATACCGTCAGGCCTTTAAACGTACCCTGTGTCGCTGCTGTATTGATCTTCACTCGCTTCCAACTTTTTACAAACTTAAAGCCAAATTTATTGGAAAAGATGGCGTCCCGGAGTCTTCACCTCTCGAAGAAAATTACCACCATCCCGCGAAAGCTATAAGAATGACAAAGTTCAGTCAACAAGACTTCCGGAAACATCACGGTATCCAAGAACTTGGTTATCCTTCGACAAAAGAGACTTCCGTGCGACAATCCTATCCTTCTTCCTCTTCTGGTAGTGCGCATGCTCATTCAGACGGTCGTCTGCAACAGCTATGCAGACACAAATATTGCTCAAGTCGTCGCGCGCGTTTCAGCACGTTCGAAGACTCCAGTAGCTGTAGAAACGCTTTCATCTCTCATCCCCAAATAATTAATAGGGGAAACAGTTGCGATTCAAAATATAACTTCACGGCATTGTCGGCTGCTGAAGGCGAGGAATGTGAAATTCAAAATGGTTGGAGAGCAGGAGGTGTGTTGTGAAAAGCGTTTTCATCAAAATCATTATACAGTGTCTGTTAAAGGGAAAGAGATTTTCTTGGTGAATCATCGATCTCACATACTTATTCTTAAATATATAGGGCATGCAGACCACAAAGCATCCTCTGTATCCCCAGGGGTCGCTTTCCGCTCTACTCCACTATACCCTGGGTTCATCCATGGGGTATTCACGAATTCAAATTATCCGCCCTTGATTGTAGCTTGATTCTACGAACCAATAAAAAAAACAGTTTACAATCCAGTCTTAGTCTCATTGCTAACGTTCACAACTATAGGTCGGCTTGTTTGTTGCAACAAAATGATAGTTACCTCCCTTCGCTAACTTCCTTTGAATTTAACGATTTTTTAATTGGTCGATCAATATAGCACAGTCATCAAGGGCAGATAATTTAAATACATTTCTCCCCGTGGATGAAACCAGGGTTAGTAGAGTGGAACGGAATGAAACCAGTACGGATACCTAGGATGACCACAAAGCTAAACTGGTTTTAAAATCATCGAGGCCATCTGTGTGAACCTAGTTCATGAAACCTGTTACACCATTTTCTGGGATAAAAACAGAAATCTCCTTAAGAATTCTGGGGGTTGGGTGTTCGAATGGTTAGCGCGTGCGCGTTGTATTATAAGGTCTGCCATTGGGTCAACTGACGTGATTTCGATTCCCCGGTTGTACGTGACAAGGAGTAATGTCGCCTGTCCTACCTCGTGGGTTTTCTCCGGGTCTTCCGGTTTCCTCCCACTGCTAAAGATCCCTACGCGCAAGCGAATTATTGAAATAAAATTGAAGCCAATGTCCGTCCCGAAATGACCTAGTTTGTGTCGAGTGAACGTTAAACCACCTGATAATATTTTTCATTTTGTTTATCTGCTGGTCAGATGATACAAGGACCGAAATGATTGATATGATGGTAGTAGTTTAGATGAATATTCGGGTGTAAGATTTTGAATGAGTGTGGACTCTCTCTCTCTCTCTCTCTGTTATGAAAGATGAATACGGGTTAGAATCGCATAACAAAATAGTATATTAATGTTTGAATACGGCGGCCATTCAAGACAGAAACCTATGTGCGTGTTTGATTGGGTGTGTTATAAGTGCGTGTTTGATTGGGTGTGTTATAAGTGCGTGTTTGATTGCGGTGTGTTATAAGTGCGTGTTTGATTGGGTGTGTTATAAGTGCGTGTTTGATTGGGTGTGTTATAAATGCGTGTTTGATTGCGGTGTGTTATAAGTGCGTGTTTGATTGCGGTGTGTTATAAGTGCGTGTTTGATTGCGGTGTGTTATAAGTGCGTGTTTGATTGCGGTGTGTTATAAGTGCGTGTTTGATTGCGGTGTGTTATAAGTGCGTGTTTGATTGCGGTGTGTTATAAGTGTGTGTTTGATTGCGGTGAATCCGGACGAATCGGTCTTAAAGGGGCATTACGTAAGATTTAGATAAAGAGCGGATAACTTTCGCTGTAATATTTCAAAAATAGATAATGCAAAATGAATATATTGAAAATTTTATTCATATTACTTTATTTTGAGTGAAGTTATCAATGTTTGCATTTTTTGATCGTAACCACCGTACTGTTCATTCGAGTCTTAGCCGCGCTTCTCCAGTTTTAAATTACACATTAAATGGCCGAACCGTTCTAATTTACTTAAAGTTACAATTTCATATTTTTTAGTTATATATTTAAAATGTATTAAAATCAAGCCCCAAAATAGATGGTATCTATAAACAGTCCCACCTTGTGTAAAGAATAATCCTATTAATCCTATAATTCACTATTGCCAGTTGAGAAATTGGCAAAAATATCATTTTCATCTTTAAATTCAAACGTTTGAAGATAGCTACTCCATGGTGGAGAATAGAAAACAAGGGAGGTAATTGGGGCGGGGGGGTAATTGTGTTATTATTTCCAGTGTAAACGATTTTTAAGTGTGAGGATGACACCTATGAACGTACAATAGAGAGTTGACAACCTATTGAGCAAAAGACAGAAAATAACAAATTGTAACTTTAAAATCTTGTCATGTCTTGTCATGTTAATAGATGTCTTATTAATGATTATTAATAAGTCTTATTAATAACATTTAAGGTCTATATGGTTCTCACATACGGCCTGTTTAATTTAACCTTCTATTGTGAATGATTTATGAAAATACGATAACCAGATGAGCACGCCGATTATGGTGTAATGTCCACGTGTTCTCCGTATCTTGATGAACGTGATTGTTATTTGAGGAGTCACGGAGTCACGGTGGCTCAGTGAGTAAGACGTTGGCCTTCTAACCTGAAGATCCATGCATTGGACGAGACAGTTAAGCGAGATTTTATAACGTGGTTTCTAAAGGTCAGTGGTACAAGATTGGACGAAAACCCGAGGTATCGTGTACACATTGGCGTGCAAGTAAAAGATCCCTTGCAGTTGGAATTCGATATGAGAGTAAGCCGTAGCGTTGCTGTCCGGTCAAAATTTCCCTCATAGCACACTGTATGCCCGCCTTCATTAGCCTAATTGGGGCAGAACAGTAGGACGTTAAACCCTATTTCATTTCATTTTGTTTTTTGGGTAGTCGGGAGCTGAACGTGGCGTTCACCAACATGGTGTTCAAATTAAACGTTTTTGTGAGTTCGAAGAGAGAGAGCGAGAGAGAGAGAGAGAGAGAGAGCAGGTAATTTCCACACGACAGTAATTAGCAACTCCGAAATAACATTATGCTTTACTTCAATGATCCGTATGTGTGGTCATCTAGCAGTGGGGGTTTTCAGGAGGACCCGTGGAAAACCCACGAGGTTAGACATGCGAACTTACGCTTTTACACTACAATCCTGGGGTCGAAACCACGCCTCTTGGCTCAATGACAGAGCTTGTGATATATGATGCACATGTTATATCGCTCCGTCACCCAACAGTCCGTACAGGGTTGTGAATCATAATACAGGGGAGAAAACTCTTGATAAATATATGGATTCAGACTGGTAATGATCTCTCCATTGACTTCAGTGGTTAATCTATGCCATTTCTCGACCTGTATCGTGTTTTTTAACATCAGAATGATCCAGTTCCTTACAACCAAAGCACGAGAATTCCCACTACATGTTCCATAAATAATTATCTGATAAAGATATTGAGAAATCAAAACCTGAAGTAAGGGGAGATAATTATATGTACTGTAATGGATGCAGACCACCATAAAATTTCACCATCTCGGTACAAATTGTAGTTCGTCTATTTATAGCAATTCTCCCTTTTGGTGGTCAACCACATACAAACTTTAGTGCAAAGACATGACCAATTGTTCTTCTGTCTGTAGTGAAAAGCATTCAGTCCAACGAAAATTTGGGGAAAAGTTAGAGGTGGGCAAAGAGGCCAGAATTAACATTGAAGTCAATGGGGTAATTAATGGTGGTCTGCTTCCTGATAAGGGGGGATAATTACATACACTGTAATAATGGGAGATAATTGCAGTATTGAAATTATCACGAGATAATTACCAGTCTGGCTCCAACTAATACAGGGGTCACCAAACTTTTTTCATAGTGGTCCAGATATAACTGAAAGAATGCCGAGCGCGGGCCGGATAAATATTTTGTTCAATACAATACACTGAATACAGAATAAACTGAATCTACACAAAAAATAAGGATAGTCATTCTAGTTATTTATCAATACCGGGTACATGAAATACACAAAATAATAAAAACAATATGTGTTATGTAAGTAGTATAAGAAGCTAGAGCATAGGGGTTTTTTTAGCATGCAACGGCGGACCTGACAAACTGACTTCGTCGGCCGGATTTGGTGACCCCTGAACTAATACAATGGACCAAAATGTTATTGACAGTGCTTTCATTTTGTGATAAATTTAAATATGTATCTATTCTCATTAAGATATTTTTGTTATAAATATTGTACATAATAATAATAATCTTGTTAAATGGGTCAACCTAATTCATCACTGAGCGGGAAATGTGACTAAACGGCCCAGTGCCGTGCAAAGATATGCAGGTAAGAGCGGGGTGGGGGAGGGGCAAAACAAAGAGCGAAATTATTATAAGTGAGATGTTTGAAATTGTCTCTGTTAGTTCCGTTGTACAAACGGCCTAACATTTCAACAAGCTGATGTGAATATAGATCTGTGTTTTAATAAGTGAGAACAGGGTACTTCTTGAAAGTGTTTTCGGACCCGAACTTAATTATTGTGGGTGATTTATATTAAATTTAAATAAAAACGTTTATTTCATCTGTTTTTACATATTTAAAATGTTATACTTTATAACCTTTCTGAGTTTTGGGGGAATACACTCAAGGGGTTTTCCCCATACTTGAGGTTTGGGGTCATACTATCAAGGAGTTTGTTCTTTACTTGAGTTTTGGAGGCATACTATCAAAGGGTTTGTCCTGTACCTTTTTCTTTGGAGCATACTCTCAAGTCAAGGAGTCGGTCCTTTACTTGAATATTGGAGGCATACTATCAGGGAGTTGGTTCTTTAAAGGACAATATTGGTGCCAGTCATTATCACATATGATGGAACTGGTTAAACACGTCCTAAGTATAATTTTAACACAGAGATCATTGCTACGATAGATGCGTTATGGAGATTTCGAGAAAGGGGAGTGACGAACGCAAAAGGAAAACACAAGTTATCCTTCTATATAACTGACTGAAGTAACGAGTGAGATCATATACACAGGCGAATTTCTGCTCACTAATAATTCCTGGCAATTCAAAAATATAATTGATTGTCACTAGATAAGAGAAAAAGAGAAAAATAGAAAAACGTCCGTGCATTACCATGTTTTTCTTAAACATACATTATGGGAGATTAAACAAAGAACTGGTAGTTCTAGTCAACACCTAGATAATGTCAAGGGAATTGATGAAAATTTCAGTCAAATTGATCCACCCTGAACCGAGTATTTAGCCATTTAATTTTGGGCCTAGCCTCGATCTTCATTACTAAAGTCGGTACGATAAAAAACATAGCCTCGATTATCCACTAGGTTCTAATCCAGTAAGTAAATATCGCAGGCAATCGATGCTATCGAGAGTTGATTATGGTCTGGATAAGTCAATATCTAATTTTAGATAACATTTCAGGCCTAAAGAAAGGCCTACAATTGGCAGATTTAGCTCTTGAATAAAGTCTGTACATTACCATGTTTTTATTAAGTATAGATTGAATAAAAACAAGGGAATTTAAGGACTATTTCTATTTTTCTTGTTTTCCCTTATCTATTCAATTACTATTATCAAGGAGTTGGCCCTATACTTGAGTCTTGGGGTCATATTATCAAGGAGTTGGTCCTATACTTGAGTCTTGGGGTCTCTCAAGGAGTTGGCCCTATACTTGAGCGAGGGTCACGGTGGCTAAGTGGACAAGACGCTGGCTCGCTAGCCTGGAGGTTGGTGTTCGATCCCTGCATTGGCCGAAAAAGTTCATCCAGATTTTCCGGCGTGGTTCCCCCTTGTCAGTGATACAGGACGGAGGGCCTGACAAGGACTGCTGTCTAGTCATTCGGATGAGACGAAAAACCGAGGCCCCGTGTACTCATTGGCGTAAAAGATCCCTTGACAATTGGAATTCGATATAAGAGTAGGCCGTAGTGCCGCTGTCCGGGCAAAATTTCCCTCGTAGCACACTGTATGGCGTATGCCCGTCTTCATTAGCCCAAATCGGAGCAAAACAGTAGGACATTAAACTCCATTTCATTTCATTTAATTTCCTAAACTTGAGTTTGCCTATACTTGAGTCATGAGAGCATACTATCAAGGAGTTGGCCCAGGCATAACCAAACCATGACAGGACTTCACCATATATGGATTATTGTCCGCCAAATCTATGGCTTAAACATGAAACTGGACGTACATGGCGAGTTAATGAGACCTACATTCAGAGCTCAATTTGATACTGAGATATACCAGACCCATATATATATATATATATATATATATATGTTTGTGAGCTCTCGATAAACACTGCCCTAATATCCCTAATGAATGATTTTACCGTCTTCCGGTACAATACCCCCCCCCCCCCCACTGCACACACCCACAATCGATTTACGACAGTATCAAACAATCACAATAGCCAATAGGCTAATTCTACGTTTCTGCAGACCCTAATTTAAAAATGCTCAAAATAAAGATCGGGTTGTTTCTCTAATTTGCTCCATTTTACTATTGACATGTCTAACGATAAGAGAGAGAGAGAGAGAGATAGGGGGGGGGGGAGAGAGAGAGAGAGGAGAGAGAGAGAAGGCACAAGACTACACGGAGAAAACACACGAGGTTGGATAGGCAAACATACTCCTTGTCAAGTACATGCGGGGAATCGAGACCACGTCACATGAAAAATGATAACAGTACATTTGTTCAAAGAAATTACAATGAGAAATTTAACTGAAAAACACAATGATTTAAACAGGCAGCAATCCTTTATATAAAAGATATTACAAAAGTTGAAACTGGGAGTAATCATTTATTTAGCAGATATTACAACTTATTTTACAATGTAGAAATGAATTTAAGAACCCACATTTGACCATCTTGGCCTACATTTTACGCCAACATCTGACCCTCTAGGCCTACATTTTACCATTTAGGCCTACATCTTACCATTTAGGTCTACATTTTACCATTTAGGGCTACATATTTGACTATTTAAGTTTAATTAATCCTTGATTGGGATTTAGTGATGAAGCACATTAAAAAAACACAACACAATTTATATGGAAAACAATCCCTGGTTTATGCGTGTAGACATCTGACACGACGTTAAGAGAATACTTGTCGAAACATCAGGTATATGTGTATAAACCATCGATTGTTTTCCATATAAACTGTGTTCTGTGTTGTGTTTTTATTTAGGCTTATATTTTACAAATTTGGGATGAAGTTTACAAATAAGGCCTGCATTTTACAAATCAGGCCTACATTTTACAATTCAGGCCTGCATTTTACAAATTAGGCTTTTTACCATTTATCCATTTCAAAGTAACATTTAACAGTAAATTTTCCATCTTTTAAAAATCCATATTTTGGATCTGCTAATCTATCCCAGCTAATACATTGTGAACAGATTTTACTCTGTGAGTAGCCATAAATGGAACCCTTTAAATCTATATCTTGGGCCTTTATCAAAGCATTTTTATTGTTGTTAAAATTTACAACCTTGACTATGCTTCTACCAATATAATTTTTGCACCCATCGAATTGTAGGTAAACATTTACTGAAGTTTGACAGTGAAAATATGGATATTCAACACATACATAACAGTTCAAATTATTTAATGAATATTTTGAACTTTGAAGGACGCTCCCTCCATTAAAATCATTTATGCTGAAAGTAGCGTTAAATGTATTATTTCCCTCACCAATAATATCTAATTTTCCTATTTGTTTTATTAATTCTTTAACGTCAACAACAGATTCTTTAAACAAAATATCGCTCATTTGAGGAACATTCAACTTTCTCGATCGACATTTTTCGTGTTGATGTACAGATTTAGAAATTGATTCCAAAACCGGAACAATATATTCCTTCTGCAAAACATCATCAGTGTTATCAACCACAGATTTTAAATTTTCCACCATTTTTGAATTCTCTTCTATCAGATTTGTTACTTTTATTTGATCAGCAAGACTTGTAAGTTCTATCTTCTGCTTCAGTCGATTACCCTTCTTTTCAACCTCTTCGCAAATTCGTTTCACTTGTTCGTCAATGTTCTTTCTTGTTGTTTTTGACAGATCTTTTACCTCTAACAACTGAGCTTTCAGTGATTCAGAGAAATCTTCTAACATTTTTATTTCTTTTTCTAAGTCTTTGCTGCATGATTTAAGCTTTTTTCTCAAATCTTGTAAAGTTGATTTGCTTTGTAAATCATAGAAACTGTGCCCATTATGACTGATAACAAAGCAGTCGGAGCAAACAGCTTTTGAACATTTTTTACAATAAAAAGTAGATTTTCTGTTGTTATGTTTCTGACAGATGTCTTTATCGGGTTCTAGTTTTTTTGACAGACTCAGGAACTTGTTGTCCTGGGTTTCACTTTCAGACTTGATGGCATCAGTTTCTTCTAAACTTATTATAACATGATTCTGACAAAGGGGAATAGAGCAGTGAATTGTCCTGCAAGAATTACACATACACTTTTGACAGTCTTTACAATGAAATGGTGAAGGGAGATTACTCTTACAAAGATCACAGCCTTTCTTCTTATCTTCATTCGACTTCATCCCTGGTGCTTTCTTCTCTGTGTTTAATAATACTTTTTCCGAAACAAAGTCGGTTATGCCCCCTGCAGGAATTTGGACTTGAAAACGGCACAGTGGACAGTGAAACTTGTTGTTCGCTGCAGATTTTTTTATATAATCGTCAAGGCAGAGAGAGCAGAAGGAATGCTGGCAGTCGATAGTTTTTGGCTCTTTAAATTCATCCAAGCAAATACTACAGAGTGGAGCCGTGCTGCTGTCGTCGCCATTATTATTATGGGGATTATCCGCGCATTCAGCCATTTTCTAACCCGCTGACCACGACTGTCAGAGTCACTGGATGTTGATCAGTAAGATTTACTTTAGGCAAATATCTAAACCAACAACCCGGTTACACTATCCCATTGCGTCCATTATTAGAAATCAATGTACGGACCTGTGACAAAATCTGACGAACAATCACGACAAATTATAACAGTCACGTGCACTCAAAACTCGTGCATCAAATTTGACACTATTTAGAGTTGCCTCCCCTTGGCACATTAAATGGACACAGATCACTAAAGAAATGAAATGAAATGGAGTTTAACGTCCTACTGTTCTGCGGCACTACGGCCTACTCTTATATCGAATTCCAACTCCAACTGATCTTTTACGTGCACCCCAATGTGCACACGGGACCTCGGTTTTTCGTCCCATCCGAACGACTAGACAGCTTTCCTTGTCAGCCCCTCCGTCCTGCATCACTGACAAGGGAGAACCACGCCGGAAAATCTGGATGAACTTTCTCGGCCAATGCAGGGATCGAACACCCGACCTCCAGGCTATCGAGCTAGCGTCTTACCCACTTAGCCACGTGATCCCCAGATCACTAAAGATTTCCCCATTGACTCAATGTTAATTCTCGTATCTTAGACCGGCTCTAACTTTTTCCCAAATTTTCGTTGGGTAGAACGCTTTCTACCACAGATGGAGCAACATGTGGCAACCACTTGCCCAAAAGCACGTATGAGGTTCTTCATGAAAAACTTGAGATACACAAGCTGGAAGTAGAGACAAGTAAACATGCAATTTCAGGCCCTACATTTCAACCTAACCAACCTCTCAACTCTTGTATCCTTCACCAAAACCTGGTAGAAAATGTATTTTCAAACCCTTTTCTTCGATTCTACACCAAAAAGTCAACAAAAATCGCCATGCAAAAGGGGGAAAAAGGGAAAGGGAGAGAAAGACTAAAAATAACTTTTGCCCTACATTCGTGGATGACGGCGTAGAAATATTTGGTGAGCTGTGTCCAAATAAATAATATCAGACCAGTAAATCTTTTCACTGATAAAGGAATATTTTGGCTTTTTGACCGAGTGGGGTGGGTACCTTTGTCAGCCTTACTCTGCTCCAAAATTATTCGGACTACATGTATAAATTCAAACTTTAGTAAAATTTATAAAATTATAAAAATTGGATTTACCTCCCCTTGGCTGTCACGCATGTTATTTCTATATTAAAGGACAATATTGGTGTCAGTCATTGTAACATATGTGATAGAACTGGTTAAACACGTTCAAAATATTATTCTAACACAGAGATCATTGCTACGATAGATGCGCAATGAAGAAGGGGGTTGGAATGGTGGTAAATATTCAGTTTTAACTGAAGTAACGGGTGAGAGAAAATGAGATACACGGGCGAATTTCTGTTCCCTGATAATTCCTCCCACTGCTAAAGAACCCTACGCCCAAGCAAATTATTGAAATAAATATGAACCATGTTTTAGTCCCGAAATTACCCAGTTTGTGTCGAGTGGACGTTAAACCCCATCTATCTCGCTCTCTGTGTACGGTACATTTTTGATTGGTTCGTAGAATTAAGCTACAATCAAGGGCAGATAATTTGACTGGGTCTCCCCATTGAAAGATCCCAGAGGTTATGTCATTAGCCTCTCTGTTGCACTACTGCTATAACATTATCTTTTCAAATGGCTTCCTGTTCGGTCGGTGTGTCATTACCCTCTCCAATGTACAACTTACAAACGCGGTATAACTTTCAACATTGCATTACTGCAGTGATTCTCAACCAGTGTGCCGCGAAATTTTGAACGGCACACCAAGAAAATGCGAAAAGCCACTTGATCCCAATTGAGTATTCACTGGGGTCTACTGGTACGTTCATAGCTGTGTTTTTCTTTATTTAGTTTGAGTCATTCTATGTTTCTATGACTAGCCTGTGTCTGCGGTTGTATCCCGTCTATGACTTGCCATGTTTTTATTTGGAAAATTCAGATATTTTTTATATATTGTATAACTGCTGTGCCATTACCCTCTACATTGTAGAACTCCTGTGCCATTACCCTCCCCATTGTATAGTTTTCGTGCCACCTTCATATTTTATTACTGCTGTACCATTGCAATCTGTTGAATTGACTGCTGTGCCATTACCCTCCACATTGTATAACATTTGTATCCACTTTCCTCCCCAGTATATCATTACTGCTGTGCCATTACCCTCCCCATTGTGTAACTCTTGTACCATTACCCTCCCCAATGTATAAATTTGGTGCCACTTTCCTTCCTATCTTATTACTGCTATACCATTACAATTATTGAATTGACTGCTGTGCCATTACCCTCTCCATTGTATGACCGCTGTGTCATTACCCTCCCCATTTTAAGGCTGCTGTGCCATTGCCCTCCCCATTGTATGACTGCTGTGCCACTGCCCTCCCCATTGTATGACTGCTGTGCCATTACCCTCCCCATTGTATGACTGTTGTGCCATTACCCTCCCCATTGTACAAATGCTGTGCCATTACCCTACTCATTGTACAGTGCTGTACCATTACCCTCCCCATTGTATAACTGCTGTGCCATTACCCTCCCCATTGTATAACTGGCTGTGCCATTACCCTCTCTATGGCAATACAACATAGAAATTTTCACTACACTTCGTTGTATTATTTTTTTTTTTTTTAATGGCAATCACAATGTATATATATATGTATGTATATATATATATATATATTTATATCACTGATTTTCTGGTGACATGATTTTAATATTACAACAATGAGGAAAGAGAGAAAATCACCATAACGTATTTACGAGAGGCAAAAAAAAAAAACTTATTAAAAAAAAAAGAACAGAAATCAGCACCTGAATGTTCACATGTACATATACATGACTTTACACGACAAAATGGAAGTCTCGCTCATATTCAAATTATTTGAATCTGATTGGCTATAATATATTTATATATATATATATATATATATATATATATATATATATATATATATATATAAACAGTCAATTCACAAATTGATCTTATGAATATTCATCATTTTAATGTCTTTTTCTGTTTTCACTATTTACATGTAAGTTATAGAATAATTAAAGGCAGTTTAAACGATGAATTAAAGGGAGATAATCACTGTACTGTACGCAGCATTTATTCGATCAGTGATAATATATATATAAATTATGTACAACAATTGATTACATATGTAAGTTTAATTATCCGTCAACTAACCCAACATGTGTAAGTTGAAGATTTTTTTTTTTAATAAACAATGAGCCATGAATGATTACGGGGAAAAAAAAATAGGCATGATATATAAGTTTACATTCCAATTTTACTAGTCTTTTCCCGTTAGTTATTTGTAAACGAACATTGATATGCATTTTACCAGATTCTCCACAACACACTTTATATATACATGAATATATATATATATATATATAACAGAAATTCTTGCGTATAATTTTTTCGTCGCACACCTTGTAAAAATTCGACTATTGTACACATATTCTTTAAATATTTTTTCAGTTTGATCTTCACACAAAGTCGCTGAAATTGTTTTTTTGTTAAAATAGTTTTTTTTATCAATAATTAATAAAGTGAGATGAAACGGCTATGAAAGTTGGGAACATTCAAATAAAACATCGGAAAGGATCTTCGCCACGGTCTGATCCAATATTTGTGACATCACAAGCGCTAGTAATCTACTTTGTTGATGCACAAACAGAGTTCTGTTCTCTTCCACTCGAGCTAACTGTACGAGAATCGTGGCGGCACGCCGTAACATGTCTAAACTCGTACCCATAGACTCTGGGTTATTCTGAAGAACAACGATACCTTGTGACTTGGCCACCTGGTGAGCATTTTGTTCAGCTGTTTCTAAGAAGTCTACAAGAAGAGAAATGCACTGATGCTGTAGCGCAATCGCTCGTGAAATACTTGAGTCACCAGTCACCAATTCTGACAATAAAACTATGGCGAATTCCTGCGTAACCTGTTCTTTACGATTGGCTAATAATTTGACGAGAGTCTCAAACAGATCTACCATTCGTTCGAAAGGAGGCGTTGCCAACAGCAGATCAACGTTGGCATCATGTATACACAATTTACACAGAGCTTCTAAAACAAGCCGCTGGGGCGAAAGGACGGAATTAGGAGGCATGTTCGGCATGGGGTCGCGCGCACAAGACGAGGAACACACTACCCAGTGTAATAATCCGTCTAATATAGGGAAGCAAATGTGTTCGGGAAAATCCGAGAGTTTTAATTTTCCACAAATATTAGCGAATATGACTAGCGTATTCTCGCGTAAAGCGTCTAAACAAGACCACCACCACTCTCCTTCCTTTACTGATTCCTCAGCGTCATCTGATTCCCATTCGTCGCCAAAACGGTGATTTTTAGACCGAGGTAGATGTTTATGGTGCAGCAGTAAAAGTTTACCCAGGGTGCTCATGAGACCTGAGTGGCGGGAAAGTTCAAGACCGTTACCGGGGATACAAGACAAGCTTCGGAAGATATTAGAAATACATATACACCGTCTGGCCAATTCCTCGTGGGCGTTGACTACGTTGTACAAAGGTGGCGTGTCATGTTCGTAAGACTCCTCCTCCAAATCGCTAACAGCTTGCGGCCTGTTGATCATTGCTAATGCACCCATTGTTTCTATTTCCGTTTTCGGGTAAGTTACGAGTTCGACAAACGGCAGCGTTGAATTGTCTGATTTATCACCATCAGATGTTCCGTTCTCATTTTTACTCTCGTCGGTGCTATCTTTCGAATCGCTAACTTTCGCATTGTTAATTTTCGACTCGTCATCCGCTGAATCGCTAACTTTCAGTTCACTGTCCTTTGCCTCGCTATCGCTATCTTTCGCGTCGCTAACTTTCTGTTCAGTATCCTTTGCCTCGCTATCCTTTACCTCATCCTTCGCTTCAATACCCTTCGGCTCGCTATCCTTCACTTCGCTATCCATTGGTTCGCTATCCTTCACTTCGCTATCCATTGGCTCGCTATCCTTCGCCTCGCTATCCTTCGCCTCGCTATCCTTCGATTTGCTATCCTTCGATTCGCTATCCTTCCCCTCCGTTTTGTTCTCGCTTTTTGTATCCTCGTCCATCTCCTCTTTCTTCAAGATTTGTTCATCCACTTCAGTTTTACGCTCTTCGTGGTCTTTCAAATCACCATGTTCCATTTCACACTCCTGTTTTTCAATTTTAATAAAATCGTTACGCACAGTTGGATTCTCCTCCTGTTTAATAGGAGATAATGTTGTATCCATGGAGATTTCCGAAGTGTCCATCTTCTCTTCGTGATCGCTGACAATGTTTTCGTCCTCGCACACAGCAACGTCCTTCGTAAACACTTTTCGTTTGTCTTTATGCGTTCCAAGATGTTTGGAAAACAACTTGCTAAGTAAGGAATTAGTTTTTTCGCTCTCCATTTTTGTAATGATATGACTCAGGTTTCCCGCTCCGTACGCGAAATGATCTGTCGGCAGAAACTCCTGATTATCCTTATCCCAAGTTTTGGGTTTGACCATCCACGCGTCTTTCGACTCTTCCTCAATGTGTACAGCTTTTCCATCGCGCGTTATCAACGTATAATTTTCACAATCAAGTTTCTTTTCCGATTCTTCTGGAGATATTTCGAAATCCCCAACATCGTCATCAACACTGTCGGTATCTTTGAGTTCAGCAAAAACTTCCAAAATACATTTACGGAAATGTTCTAAGAGGACATCTAGTAATCCTGGCAAGTGACTCAAATTGAAATAAGACACGGTTGAATCGTCAAATAGTAATATATTAAGTGTATCCAGAGCCCAGGTGCTTTCTGTTAATAATCCAGATTTCAGGGCCATCATAAGACGCCAGGCTTCTATTGGTCCTAAAAAAAGAAATAAAGACATAAGTTATTTCTCATCTGAGGTTATGTTTTACGATGACCGTGGATCGTTTGTCGTGCAGAAAATTTGTAGAATCTTATTTCCTACGGTAAGTCCCAACAAATTTAGCAGCTTGTGGAATGGACAGTTAAGGAAATTAAATGAAATGGGAGTTTAATATACTACTTTTTTGCACCAACTGGGCATACACTGGGCTTCGTGGGTAACTTTATCTGAACAATAGTGTTTCCACCTATTTCGTAGAATTCCAACTACCAAGAGATCTTTAACCTGCACGCCTAATCATTTCACAATAAAACATCTAATTCAGTATTTTAAGACTAGTGTTAGGGGACACAGTTTTAGCGTCATTGACCCTAATTTATCGACCCTAAATTGCTTAAGGATCTTACAGGGGCACTACCCATCTATAAACAGAAACACTATTTTCTACACACAAAATAAAGTTTGGGGCATATCGAGTCTAGGAAATGAAATGGGGTTTAACGTCCTACTTTGTTGTTTGCACCATCTGGGGTTAATGAAAATGGGCATGATACACCTGGCAGTGTTCTACGAGGGAAAGTTGGGGCATCGAGTCTTAAAAACATAATGGGGTTTAACGTCCTACTGTAATTCTACAACTCGGCCAGTGAAGACGGGCATACACCGTACATTGTGCTATGAGAGGAATTTTGCCTGGGCAGCACCACTACAGCCTACTCTTATATCGAATTCCAACTGCCAAGGGATCTTATACGTGCATGCCAATGTGTACATGGGAGCTCGGTTTTCCATCCCATCTGATTAACTCGACAGCTGTCCTGTCAACTCCTCTGTCCTGCCTGGACTAATGAAGACGGACAATAGCCATGCAGTGTTCTATGAGGGAAATGTTGCTTGGACATTGGCCCTACTGGTCTCTACTGACTCAACTGTACCCAAATTGTCGACCGTGAATTTCGACCAATTTTTAATTCATCGTATCTTGTAAATACTGAAAGGAACTGAACCATTTATGGACCGATATTCAGAGATTCATAGTTCCATCATCAAATAACGATCACAGACGTTAACCATATATAGATAAAAAATATTTCATTTCATAAAAATTCTACAAAACTTCTGCAGTCAAAAAATAAATCAACATTCAGCTGCTAAAATTGAAACATAAAAATCTACAAAATATGAAAAATCTCATTTCAATTTTTTTTTTTTTTTTTTTTTTTTGGATCTTTTTTTTTCTCCAGTAAACAGAAAACAAAAAAAAAACAAAAAAAACTTGAGTTCTGTAAAAATACTATATATAGAAAAGCTGGAAATTTGTTTTTTCACATTATGAATAATAATAATAATAATAATAAATATATACAAGTTACTTTTTACAAGCCCGTCCTTTGCAGCATAAAGCTTATGTGGTTCGAAAAACGGCAGAAATTTTAATTTGAGCAACTTTGTGACAATTTAATGACAGAAGATGAAAAATGAAGAATTGTAAAATGAGAAATGAAAATGTAACGAGGTCAATAGGGGCTCGAATTTAAAAGGTTTGATCACAAATCAGTTTCCATTCTAATAAATTATAAATTTTTAATTTAATTGCTAAGTATAAAATATTTTCCCACGAAATATCAAATCTATAATTAAACTGACAGAATAATTTAATTTCAAATATTTTTACTTTCAAGTGGGGAGTAATTTGTAACCAAACCACGTTAATTTTGAGCCCAGTTATTTTTATTTTTTTTATTTTTTTTTGTAATTTTTGTTTGAACTAACCTAGGTCTTTGCTGGTTAGACGACGACGTTTGATAAGGGGTGGTTGGACGCCTTCTATCGTATCGGGTGGAAAAGGTATTTCTTTCCTAGACTGATTACTAACACATGGTTGTAACAAGGCCTTCTGCTGCAAAAGAACAGCAAAAAGCACCATAAAAAACAACGCAATTCAAAAGCTAGCTAAAGAAAAGATCACCATAAATTAAGAAATCTATGTTGTAAAAAAAATAAATAAATAAATGGTATTCTACGGCTAGCTGATAAGATAACCAAAAAGCCAAAGACCTTTGTTTAGAAACTAGCTTCTAGACTAACTACACTACTCTGCATCTATTAATAGCATCAATCCATATATTCAGGCCTACTAATAGGCCTCATTTTCAATCACTGCCATACACAAAAATAAAAAAAAGTTTGTGTTTTCCCAAATCGAATTTAAAAAGCGGTTTTGACTAAAACCATTGATGATATTTTGTTTGATTTGGAGGAAAACAAGAACTTTTTAAAAAATGTCTTGGTAAAAGACAATGCAGCAGACTGTTTCACTTGATAGAAAAAAAATAAACAAATTCAAATTATAATTTATATATATATATATATATATGATGCATAATCTCAAACACAACAGAGAGAAAATTATACAGAAATTATAATAAATAAAATCAATTCTGAAATACAATATTTTGATTAGAAAGAGAAATCAAATTCTAAATGTCTTCTAAACAAATAGACTACATATCTATTAGTCTCTATCATCCAGATAAATATTCTACAAATATTAGTCTGGATGTGTTGTCAACATATGAGAATAGGTCATTGGCTAGATTATCCAGTCTTTTACATTATCATAGACAAAGTCTAAGGGAGGTAACTAGTCCTAAAACAAGATGTTGAAGCCCATGAAATTAATTTAAGAATGCTATTTCAAAAAAAACCATTTGATTGCATTGCCTGTTCAATATCCAACACGCCTAATTCTTTTATTGTAAAATTTCTCTTCATGTTCATGGGTCAAATATGTTTTTTTAAAATTAATCCTAATTCATCGTCACGATTGGTGTTTGTTTATATTATTGCAAGAATTATGGGATTTATTGTGGGAGGGGCTCAACTCTTACTTGACTTTGCCAGAGATACTGGATAATCAACCACATTAAAAACCAAACTTCTGGTTACGCATGGGCAATGGAACTTTTTGTCAAATTTTGACAACAGTCCCAGACCCTCAGTACGTTGAAGACTAGGAGGTTCTGGGTGACCAAGACTATTTGCTACCGAGCACAATAAATCGAAACGTTTTGTCAATCATCAGAGGGAGTATATGTAACAGCTGTTAGTTTCTTCTGCTGTTCAGTTAACTCCCCCTGATGTTATTCTTAAAGCAATCTACTTTAGCATACAAAGAATTGGTATCTTTTATATTTAGCCGTTTGTTTTAGCTGTAGATAGTCAGGGAACATCACTACACTAATAACCCATCAAATTGTGGGAAAGTGGAGAGGGTGGGGGGGGGGACGGTTTCTAGCTCCAGATATATGTAGTTGATATATATTTAGGTAGAAACAAGGCAATTGGAGAGGGTAGGGGGGTGGGGATGATCCATGGAATTGGGAGGAGGACAATTCATGGAACTTGTAATACATAATTAACTAGATGTAGATTCCAAGAGATAGAGGGAGGATCACAGACAGGGTGGGAGAGAAAGACAGAGGGGGACAGAGAGAATCGGGTTGATGGGACACCGGAATGGAGAGCGAGAGAGGTGGGATTAACACAAGGCATATCCTTTTTTTAATAATTCACATGTATAGACAAGTTTTGACAGAGGGAGCATATCACAGAGGGAACATATCACAGAACCAAGAGGTTAGACACCATGGCTCTATAGGATTGAAGAGTGTGGAGGATATCACAGAGTTAGACACCGTGCCTCCATGGGAGGAATGAAGAGAGGGGAGGATACCACGGAACCAAGAGTAAATCAAAAAGGTTGACACCACGGCTCTATTGGGAGAATGAAGAGTATGCATCAAAAATACTAGTTTCAGAATCAATATATATTCATATACAATTGTTATTCTAAATTCTAAAATTAAACTGAAGAAAATAACTATATTTCTAAATCTACAAACTAACCAAGCCTCTACACTAGCTTTAATTCTACAAAACTAGCAACTAAAAAATAACTATAGATATTAATAATCTGTTTATTATTCTGAACAAATTCCCCGAAAATCTGATCAATGCAAGGGAGGTAATGTCGCAGGGCTCTGTCTTATACACCAGAGTAATTCTTCTTGTTGAATGGTAATCTTATACAATTACATTCAAAAACCGAGAGGATTTAACTCCACTACACACAATCTCTTGTC